GATTCCAAAAAGCAAGAAAGCAACAGTTAGACTAAACAATTTCCCTTTGTTCCAGAACCCTTCACATCCTTATGTAACTTGGCTCTATATCATGCAACCTGAACAGTGGTGGGATTCAAATATGTGAACAACTGGTTTTCTGTGTGGATACCGCTTCCGGAAGTTCATTCTGGGCCTGGGCAACAAAAAATTAGTTACCGGTTCTGCCGAAGTGGTGTGAATTGGCTGAATCCCACCACTGAGCCTGAAGCACAAAAGAATACTGATAACAAGACTGGATATGTATCTCAATAAAAGCAGACCCTTCCGGAAAGCAAAAAACCCTAATATGTGATTAATGCAGTTTATGTGAGATGTTGGTGCAGAATTCACTTCAGCTTTAGGACAGAAGGAAAACAGATTTTTTTTTTAAACTGGAAATATTTTTAAACCTAAAAAAGCCAGGGCAGTTAGACCATATAAATTTCTTTCTCTTTGCTTCTCTTATAATTTCCTTTCTCTCCAATGTTTCTGACATTTCTACAGATCATTTTATCCAATCTGTTTTCTTGTCCTCAGATTTATTTTGCAGTCTTAAGGGATAAGTGGTTTTTTCCAATTCTTGTGATTTTTTTTACCCCACAGGGATTAAATCATGTTTCCTTGTTTTGTTAAGTTCCATCTTTAAGTCTTTAAGTCATTTATCTGTTTTATCTGCTTTTTCTCTGTTGTTTTTTTTCTGGGAATTTTTGTTGTTGTAGAGTTAAATTGGAAATAGATTGATTTATATTTTCAAAATTATTTTGGATTTCTTTGTGGTTTATAATCATTGTTATTTGAATTAGTTGCAATATACTATATATCTCATCCTGTGGAGTATTTGTGTTTTCTTGATAGATTCTTTCTACATGTCTCTGATCCATGATGGCCAAGAATTTTAGTTTTTCTCTTCTTTTCTTTTCTCTGCAAATACATTTAGAGTCCCGATTAAATAGATATTTGTGTTCCAAATCATTCAAAAAAGATTTTTTTCCCTAAAATTTATACTTTTCTCAATAGGTGTGAGCATCTATTTGTTTTTCAATTTTCAAAATGAACAATTATCTTTAGAATGAGAGTCTTAACCATTCAACAATTTTAGATTTATTCAGATTTGAGTTTTAAATTTCAGGTTTTATATTTGTTTCACTTCCATATATTTTGATCCTCCATAAAAAGATTAAGTCGCCACTTCCATTTGTATAAGGGTGGGGTGGAAATCCCCCTCCTTCCCATTCGGAGGAATTTTGCTTCTTGGGGATCTTTTCCAGGAATTTAAATATAGAATAGAAAAGAGAAGATTAAATTCCTCAGTTTCAAACACGCAAAATTGGAAGTCCAGGTCAGAGCTTTTTCAGCTTTTAAGCCCAGTTGGTCAAATGCTGCCATTTAACAGGCCATTCCTTTGCAAAACCAAAGGATCAGAAAACAAGTGACGATTTATACGATTTTATTGTTGTGGATACCTGAGAATTTACATGAAAACATGATTCTCAAAAGATTCTATTTAGTGATTGGGAATTGGAGGTTAATCTGGGATCCTTTTTAGGCAACAGTGGGACCCGGGTATATGGATATGTTTGTGGGGTGACTGCATGACTCCATATAAGCGTATTGTAAATGCCACAGAAGTACCAATAGAAGAGAATATTCTAGCACTGATGATGTTACCTAGCTGGGTAATGAAACGTCTTGAAAAAGACAAGCTCAGAGAGCATCAAGGATCCCACTGTCCCAGAAGTGGACAGAAATGGAAAGATATTCAGAGGTTAAAATATTTGGAACGGTCCTTTTTAGAGTCAGAAAATTTTGCACCTCACCCTAAAACAGGCCTCCATTTTACGGAGATTGTTTTATACTGAAATTAAATGGGACATGATCCCTGCAGCACTATTTTGAGCATTTCTTACTCCAAAGGCAGTCCTATTTGAGTCTAAAAAAAGCTTACTGCCTGGGAATATATTCCAATGTAGTTGGATATGGTTAGGGATATAGAAAAAATGTACTAATATGTTACATTTTCTCCTCTTAACTTTTTCAAAAGTTTTCACGGGGGGTGGGGGGAAGTCGCAGTTGTATTTCTTGCAATAATGCTCTTGATCCAGTCAAGATGATCGAAGACCTTGATTAATATTTCCCTTTTAATTAACTTTTAAATTTGTAGTTTGATATTTTTGTATTTTTATCCGGTTGTTAGCCGCCCTGAGTCCGCGAGGAGAAGGGCGGGATATAAATTGAAAAAATAAATAAATAAATAAATAATAGAGGGCAGGCTTACGTGGTTGGGCACAAGGGTAGGGTCCCGAAAATACAATGGCCTGGAATTCAGTTTGCCTACCGACCAAATCGCTCTACAGAGGATGCTATTTCTTCCGTTCTCCATCTGAGCCTGAAGCACTTAGAGGAAAGAAATACTTATGTGCATTTGCTGTTTGTTGACTTCAATTTGGTGTTTAACATAGTCATTCCCCAGCATCTAATAGACAAACTGGGCCTTTTAGGCTTAAACACTCCTTTATGCAACTGGATTCTTGATTTTCTTACCAAGAGGCCCCAATATGTGCGAGTTGGAACAAATTCCTCTAATACCATTTTCTTGAGCACAGGTTCTCCTCAGGGCTGCGTCTTAAGTCTGCTGCTGTTCACCCTGTTGACCCATGACTGCTGTGCTAGGTTTGCCACCAACCATATTGTGAAGTTTGCAGATGATACAACAGTAGTGGGCCTTATTCAGGATGACAAGGAGGAAGCTTACTACAAGGAGGTTGAAGGTTTGGTGAACTGGTGTAAGGAAAACAGCCTAGTTTTAAATACCGGAAAAACCAAAGAGGTCATTGTTGATTTCAGAAAAGGCAGGCACAGCCACACTTCTCTGTGCATAAATGATTCACCTGTGGAGATGGTTACCAGCATCAAATTCCTGGGTGTGCAGCTAATGAATAGGCTGACTTGGCCACTCAACAGTGAGAAACTGGTGAAGTGGGCACAGCAGCGCCTGCATTTTCTGCACCGCATGAGAAAAGCACATCTTCCTTCCCCTGTCCTGACCACTTTCTACAGGGGGACAATTGAGAGCATCCTGTCATACAGCATCACAGTCTGGTTTGGAGGCATCACTGCTTAAGACAGGAAGGTGGTGCAGAAAGTGGTGAGAATAGCCGAAAAGATCATTGGCAGTTCCCTCCCTCCCATCCAGGACATAGCACAGAAGCACTGCTTCAGCAGGGTCCGTAAGATTATCTGGGACACTACACATCCTCTTCACGACCTGTTTTCCTTGTTACCTTCTGGGAGGAGGCTTCGTGGTATCCGAAGCAGAACATCCAGATTCAGCCAGAGTTTTATTCCAAACAGCATTAACCTTGCGAACTCTCAAGCTTCCTCCTTCCGTTATATATTCAAGATGGACAATATTTAATATTTATTTCCTATGTATATGTAGGGATGTGGGTGTATACATATGTTGTTCATAGTATGTTTAGGTGTGTGTCATGTAAGTGTTTCACTTTGAGAGCGGGCAAATAAATTTCATTTTTGATGTGTGCCATTGTGCCCACAGTATAAAAATGACAATAAAGGTTATCTTATCTTATCTTATCTTATCTTATCTTATCTTATCTTATCTTATCTTATCTTATCTTATCTTATCTTATCTTATCTTATCTTATCATCTTATCTTATCTTATCTTATCTTATCTTATCTTGTCCATTACATATGAGAGTCACCCTGTTGAGAAAAATCAAACATGAAACATTACTACCATATCTATGAATGGGAAGTGGAGCAAACAATTCCCTCCCATCGTCCATTCACATATCGCCCCCAATGTTTCACTTCGATGTTCCCCAATCCAGGATCCTTGTAGAAGAACTTAACTCCTTGAGTTTCCCCCATCAGAATCACAGTATTGGGAAGTCTGGAAATCTAGTCACCTAGAAGGCACTTGAGTTAGAAAAAGCCATAACTTTGTATGTTTCTAGATGCCTTCAAGGCTAGATCTCTATCATAGCTTTGAAAATTAGCATCATTTCTTTAGGAGTCTGTCTTAAAACGGATCATCTTACGTGACATGTATCTATGCCTCCTTCCAGGATACCTGCGCACAATGTTCTGCTTGATGCTGGCAACATTGGGTAAACTCCACAACACACCATATAATTGAACAGGTTAATGTTAGCACAATGAGGGACATCGGGATAAGTTTCTGAAAAAAATAAAAAATAGGCAAAATTCTACCTTTCACAATTTATCACCTAGATGCAGAGACCTAAAATTTCCATTGTCTCCAACCAACGGAGCTGATCTCATTGCCTGGGAATAAGAAGTATTGTCTTTCAAAGCTGTTCAAAGAGACTCCTGGGAAAAACAGATTTACTTAAATGTTTGCACAGGATGTTTTTTGTCAAGATATTAATAGGTATTAAATCAGCTGATGGGCATTTGAAGGCTTCTCAAATTTCTCCGGCACTCTACGCAAAGATTCCCTTGTTGGAAAAGTGGGGCTTTTGCTAGTTCAAAAGTCACAGAACTGATCTCGCATCCCCTGGAGATAACCTAGAACGGGGGTTCTCCAAACTTGGCAACTTTAAGAATTGTGAACTTCCACTCCCAAAATTCCTCAGCCTGCATATCGAAACTTCCATATCTGAAGATGAAGCAGACCCATAAGTTTGTATTGTGTACAAGAACAAAAAGCCAGGAATCTTGTCTAAAAGATCCCTTGCGGAGGACAGATGAGATGGAAATAAGTCTAAGGAAACAAAGGAAAAATGTTATCTGAATCAGACAGAGTTGAGACTGAGAATATGGAATAAACCCCAATCCCAGCTAATCAACAAATCAAGAACTTTTCAGGATAAAAAGGGGTCCTAAAGCTCATCCACTCCTTGAGTCATCTTTGGATCCACAACTTAGGAGTTTCTGTCCCTCTAGCTGGTGCCTGACAGCCTAATTGAGAAGAATGTGTCTAAACATGGATGGGTGCATATGTGCATATGAGAAAGAATAAACTTACATTGCAAGCAGTAAAGTTTTGCTGTTACTTTAAATTCACTGGGTCACCATGTATTCCAAAAAACTGTGGTGCTTCAGTGGTTAGTTGAAAATTATTTGTGTGAGTCCTTAATTATTTTCCAGCTTTTGACCAAGGCTGTGTGACTTAGCTACACCTATTTGGTAAAAATCTAGGTAGAAAACGCAGGATCTTCCTACCTTGGCAGGCTTGAATGTGTGGATGACCATAAGCCAAAGCTGAGAGTGCACATAACACTTCCATGGCCTTACTAGCAATCACAATAGCACTTAGACCTATATACTGCACTCTCTGGGTGATTTACAATATCAGCAAATTGCCCCCAACAATCTGAGTCTTCATTTTATCAACCTCAAAAAGATGGAAGGCTGAGTCAACCTTGAGCCCCGTCAGGATCGAATTGCAGGCTGGGAGCAGAGATAGCCTGCAATACTGCATTCTAACCACTGCACCACCAGGACCTAAAAGGAAGAAGTCCTCTGCAACCATCCACAGAGATTTTATATCCATCCAAGGATAGACCATGTTTTTGAGTTCATATTTAGTATTTTGAGAGTAAGGGGTAAATATACTGTGAAAACATCCTCTGTGGGAGACTTCCCCATTTACAAAACGGCCATGGCCATTCACAAAACACCCCATTATTAAAGGTAATGAAGCCACACAAGACTGCCATGCTAATGGGACTTTTCTGGTTCCCAATAGCACTGCTATAAATAAAACTGATCCTATAGGAGTTTTTTCAGCTGTAGCGGGGCTCTCTGAGAGTGTTTGCAGGAGCTTGGTTGGGAAGGGAGAGATTGGGACAGCTGCTGCCGGCCTAGAGTGTGCCCGGCGTGGGCGGAAGAAAAAGATAGAACAGGGAAGGAAAGGAAAGGGATGAGGTGGCTGTTGCAGTTCGTCAGGTGAAGGTAAAAAGAGAGTGGAGGTTTTATTTGTTTTTCTTTGTAAGGAGGATATTTTAAGCAGAGGCTAGAGTGAGGGGGTATGGGATTTTATTGCTTTCCTTCGTAAGGAGGATATCTCAAACGGAGGAGGGAGAGAGAGTGAAGTTTTATTGCTTCCTTCGTAAAGAGAATATCTCAAATGGAGGCAAGAGGGAGTGTGTAGAAAGGACTTGGCTGAGGCTCTTAGCCTCGGATTTTAGCAATAAAGATAAAGAAGGAAGGTTTTGACGCCGAGACCTGACTGGGAAGAAGCAACAGAAGAAGAGGAGAGACTGGTGGTGACTACTGTTGCTGCGAAACCTGGAGGCTATTTGGACTGTGACTATTGTTGCTGGTACAGGTTTTAGACTTTGTGGGGGAGTTGCCCTGGGGGGCGAGCTATGGGTACAGCACACTGACTGTTGTTGTTTCTACTACCGTCTGGAGCCGGGATTTTCCTCCATCCTACTTGACTCTGAACGACCACTGAGGTATCCTTAATTCCTGCTGCTATAATGGCCTTGGGCTGTTGGATATCATCATAGCATTGACTATCATGACTGGTTATTTTTGTTCCTGGAAGCCCCTCCTTGACGACAGGAGCCAGCTACCTCCCAATTCTGCATGACCTCTGGCTGGAAGAGAAATCTTATCAACCCCTAGAGAACATTACTGCAGGGTTTGACACAGGGGGATGGGGCTGGGAGGGCCTGAGTTTTTGGCTGCCTCTGAGAAGGTAACACTACACAGCTATACAGCATGCCAGTTCCTTACTTATTACTTTTATTCCAAGGACCTTGTGGGTGTGGAACTGATGAAGAAATGGGATCTTAGGGAATCCCATTGCCCATCCACATTCCAATATTCATGGGTGACATAGTGGGACCCTAGACCTAGTTGATGTTACATCAAAAGCTGGGTCTGAGAGTATAGACAGAGATCCCTACCATTAGGAGATGTGATTGTGCCCCATCCCATTATATGGCAAACTGACCCCATACTGGGAGGGCTGGAAGGCAAGCTGAGAAGTGCGATGTTTGTACTGTCATTAATAGCACGGTTCAGCCTGATCAACATGATGTCCTTGTTCCATTTGGTAAAGTTTTTGCTACAGAGAAAAATATCTTCTACCACATGCTTTATCTATGGTGATGTTCTCAAAGAATGGGACAGATGTCATTACTGTGGTAAATGTGGTGCTTTCTCACTGGACCCCTTTTAACAAGATAGAAGCCTTTCCATTCATTGCGTTAAATAGCTTATATTTACAAGGGAAACTTTATAGCTGCTTGTATGAGTGATAACAAAAATTATTAAACCAGGGTCAGCCATTTCAAACCTGCTCATTTCTTAGTTGCTAATCCCATGTTTTGGGCTAAGCAAGTACCACGTGAAAAATTTATCTGTGTAGATGGTCTTGATTTCAACATATTTGAATAGCCTCATATGTTGCCTCCTCTTATCATAGGCAGCCAGTGAACATATAAAGATCTGATCTTGAAAAGGGAATCAGATATCACACGGGCTCACACATTGTGTTAGATTATTGTGTCTTTCTTTGCAGGCTAGCTGTTGAGCACGCTAAGCCAACAACTCTGTTTTGTGAAGAGGAGACTCATGGTTTAAACAGTTGAGTGAAAATATCACTCAAAACTCAAGTGTGCCTGGCTGAGGAATTCTGGGAGTTGAAGTCCACAAGTCATAAAAG